GTTTTACCCTCCCGGTCCCCCTCATGCCATCCATCAACTTGGGAGGTGTGAGGAGAGAGGTTGCCAGTGAAGACTGAGGCAAAAAAGTTGAGTACCTCAGCCTTCTCCTCATCTGCTGTTACCAGCTTGCTGGTCTCGCTCATCAGCCGGGGTGTGCTTTCTTTAACCATCCTTTTCTGGCTGATACACCTGTAGAAACCCTTCTTATTATTCTTTGCATCCCTAGCCAAGTTTAGCTCCAGCTGCGCCTTGGCCTTCCTGACCCTGAATCGTGGAATCATTTGGTTGGAAAAGACCTTTAAGATCAGAGAGTCCAACTGTACCTGTGCACTACTAACCCATGTCTCTAAGCATCTTGTCTACTTTGAGGCTGATTGAGGCTGCTCAAAACAGGTGACAGTTTCTTCCTGTGGCAGCCCAGGGAATCACTAAAGAAACACACGGATTTTCCACCCACTGGAACTTGAGTCTTTCTCTCTTCTGAGCAGGAATATTTAATGGAGTGCAACATGGGGTGAAAAAAGCAAGACTGCTTCTGGCAAGGTGGTTAGGATATTGTTTTAAGCAGGGGACACAGGCCTTCCCTACTGCTTTTGTTATCTAGTGCTTTGTGGTTTTGTTTACTGCTTTTGTTTATTGTTGGTGTAAGGTAAATGGTTTTGCATTTCTGGGAGCTGGGTCTGCAACCCTTGTTCTGCCCCTTGCTAAGTGGTCTTGCCACTGAGTTAGGTTACCCTTTGCATGTTGTTGTTCTGATTTTGAGTGACTTCACTTCAGAAGGGGGGCTGTGAGTACCCCCTTGGCTCAGGGGTATGTAGTGGCCATATGTAGTATGTGATGTGAGGAATATAGCTTTGGACCCTTATGGAGAGTCTACCACCCAGAGATGTGCATTTTGAGCTGTTGGATGGAGCTGGGTGTGAATACATGCCAAATCTATGGTTTCTTTGTGGAACGCAGACAGAGGTAGAGTGGCTGTCTGTCTACCCTAAATTGCAGTGGACCAGAAAGCTGCCAATGTTCCAGACAAATACTTCCTAGCTTCTGGGATTAACCTCTAGGATAACTAGACATGTCTAATTTAGGTATTAACAGGACTTAGGCAAGCTTAATAGCTGCCTGGATCTTAGGCAGGCAGGTAGCATCCACTCAGCCTAAATGCTGATAAATGCATCAGTGTTGTTCAAAGAGCTGACATGTTTCTCTGATGTTGTATTTTGCTGTAGAATGAAAGCATTAAAAAATTAACTAGAATTATTATTACAATTGGCTGTATATTTAATTGCAGGTAATCAAAACTTTGATCTAGTGAAAGCACAAGTAAAGGCAGGGAGGAGACACGTAGCACACAGTGTAGACTGGAAAGGAATAGCATCAAGCTATATTCACTGAGTAGTTTTTTCAAGGCAGCTTCTTTATAATTTGCACATTTGGGTGAAATGGAGTTAAATCTAGAAAATAGCCAAGTTAATAAGAAATGCATCTTAATTTGTAGAATCATACAGTACAGATCAAAAATGGCTTTTTTCTGCTGATGTCTCTTGATTGTATTAATTTTAAAACCAGACCCGAGATGGGTTTTAAGGTATGGGAAATGTTCCTTTAGGGAGCCAGTTCCACCTATTAAATTTCACTTGTACAATGAGGGTGGTGGCTTAGCAACCAGTACATTTATGGGCTAGCTTAATTAAGATGGTTGTTCTTGATTGTACCTGAGTGTAAGGCAAGTAGCTCTAATGCAAAGCAAATTTGCTGGTCTAATTTTTCTAAGTTCTTTTTCAAGAAAAAGCCCCCTACAAATAACAAAAGAACTCCCAAAAAAATATATTATAAAAGAATGATGAAGTGCTGGGGGGTCAGCGAAGGAGTACAACAAAAGACTGAAAGAGTTTGGTTCAAAGCAGCTGATCTTTTTAATAGGCTTAAAAATCAATTATTTTAATTTTTAGCATACGCTATTTTCCCTCTTTCACTATCTTATCTGTGTTATTTTGAATATTACAAAATTTTAAAATCACATCCTGGCTTCTGTCTGGCCTGCAGTGTACATCTCTTCCTATAGCTCTAGGTTTGGGTTTTAGGGGTAGAGGTCTGCTATAGTACAAGAAGGGGGTTTAACAACCAGTTGGAGGGGGAAGGTGCTGAAGTCTGTGTCAGCAGAATGTCAAAACCAGACTGAGGATGGTGTGGCATCTGAGGAGCAGAATGGTGTTGCATATCCCACTGGGGACTGGCATTAGTCTTTTGCATTGGATTAGGAGTACATGTCAGAAGCACTCATCGCCACTCTACTTGGTTCATGTCTTGGAGCCTGTGAATGGGATCCTTCTCAAGTAACCCTAAATCAGATGATGTGCTCTGGGAGTACCCCAGTGTGCCCCAGCTGTTAGCAGGTAGCAAGCCCATGGGACAGGTTTTTCCATAACTTAAATGTGGATTTTAATGCCAGACTGGATAGGTACCTTTCCACTGCTAAACTGATCTCAACGTGGAGATGACAAAACAAGGTGTGTTCAAAGCATAAACCCATCTCTTCCTAACACAGAGCATGCTTACTGCTAGCATGATTTAATGGGTTGGTTTAGTATTTCTCCATTGACTAGGGGAGCTGTGGGGGAGAAAGCTCATAAATAATGCCCAGTGAATATCCTTGCCTTTTGTGTTGTAGCATGTAGGAGAGAGTTTGGGCATAAAGATGAAAAACTATGAATAAGACTATACTTTGAATTCATTTGTATATTGGATTCCTGTTTTCCTGTGTTAGTATATTTAGTGTGTTAAATGTCTATTTTCTTTTAGCATTCGAATAGCAGCATGTCATATTCAGATGCGGGGTGAATGTATAAGATGTGTAGGATTGCAGTTGTTTTCTTTAGATTTTTCTGCTTTTCTCTGACTTGCAGAAATGGAGATGGACTAAAATACTGCAATGAAGATGAATCAAGGACAAAATTATTTTTTGGCTTTTTTCTGTTAAACGATCAGTTGACTTTTTCAAAGCTATCCTGGAAGCTTAGGAAGTGGGGGAGAAGTAATTAGCCCTGTCCCTAGCATTGTGGTGACCAGTGAATGCATTACCTCTGTCTTGAAAATGATATGGTTTGATTTGCTTATATTTACAGTCTTAGGAAAGTGGATTTAAGATGTTCATAGTTGGGACATGATAGCATTCTTTCACAGCACAATGGAAAGCATTTATTTCTAATGCTCATTATTTACCTGTGGATATTTGCAAACGATAGACACTAGTGTGATAATTGTGGTACTAAAATGTGTGAATCTTTGTGTGTGTTCTAGGCTGACCTATCTTTGTACAATGAATTCAGATCTTGGAAGGATGAGCCTACTATGGACAGAACATGTCCTTTCTTGGACAAAATTTATCGGGAGGATATTTTTCCATGTTTAACCTTCTCAAAAAGTGAGGTAATGGAAATAGTCTAACTGTGGTAACTGAGGTTTTTCCCTTAAATATGTTACATTAAGCCAACAGACTGTATTAAAAATGTTTTCATATGAAGTTTAATAATTTTTGTTTCATTAGAGTGTGACAGTTCACTGTGAATTGCTGAAGTTTAGTCTGGAGTATTGAAATGATGATTTTTTTTTTTTTCTTCACTATTTCATTTATGCAATTCCAGATATGGCCTTTTTAGGTCTATTCCTTCAGATGTTACTCCTATCTGGCAGAACCCGATGTTTGTAGGAATGGATGGTGGATTTTTTCCTGATATTTCAAAGATTGTTTTGTAGAAATTGTGTCCTGTCACTGTCTCTTGTTTATACAGAGGGCAGTAGAGACCAATATATTTAATTTTGTGGATCAGCTTTCTCTCATATTGGAGCAGACTGCGAGCACAGTCTGGGTGTTGTCTTGGAGAGGTTTGGGTACAAGAATTGACTTTAGGATTTGATGATTCAACAGGGGCAGTTTGGGAATATGGTTTTAGATGAAACGAATCATGAGACTTTTTTTCCTCGTGTTATTACCATATGCTCTCCCATACAGAGGAAAGACAGGAGTTTCACCCATCCTGGGAATAACGTGGAACCCATTCCAGCTCCAACTGCTTAACTTAGTTTTTGCTCTTAAGGAGCATTTACAGGCTGCGGTTGGGATATCAGTCTCTAGTGGAAAGGGACCATATTCTTAGATCTTTATTTGAAAAAATAAGAATAACAAATTTTAAAGCCCTCAGACTTGATATTTTTTCCACCAGTAAAATGAAACACCTCACATGGAAAATGCTGCATTTTCTTCATAATGTTTATCTGTTGTTTTTGTGTGGTGTTATGTTTTTTGCCATGCTTTTCATCTACTGTTACTTGCTGGCCATAAGCATGCATGATCTTTTAGCTAATTGTATACCCGTTCATTATAGTTGGTATACAGCATCGTATGAACCTCTCCCACTGAAAAAGTTTACTTGGTTACTATGGGAATTAAATTTCTGCAGTATGTGTAAGTAGGCCATCCTGTTGTTTTTCCCAGCAACTTAATTTTGGTTTTTTCTGCTTCAGTGATGATATAATTACTATAGATCTGTATTTCCTCTTAAGGAAAGAATGAGGCTTCTAGCACTTGTCAGTCATATCAGTTATTGTTTCCAGATGCTGTGGGTGGTGACCAACTTCTGTTTTCAGTTGAATATTGATAAACTTAATGTGCAGTTAAACCAAACAATAAACTACACATGTATTGTGTTTTTGAATAATTGGAAATGGAGTTACCTGAATGGTTGAAGTATTGCATTAACTCTCAGTAGCCTCTTGTGTATATGTGTAGTGTTTTGCTTTTGGGAGATGGCAGAGAAAAAGTATTTCATATGAGCTATTTTAATAGTAACATTCTGGTTTTAAAATATTCAAAGTACAATAGAAAAATATGTTACTCAGTAGGAAGGAACCTCGGCACAGAATTATTTCACTAACGACATAAATTGCACCTTCTTTTAAATCAAGTAATGGCTATTACATAAACAGTAGTACTGGGCAAGTGTGGAGTCCAATGAAGCAAAATGAGCCTATTTCTAGTGTCTTATGATTGTGTGTTTATAAAGAATGAACATAAAGACCCTGAGCAAAGTTGCACTTTGTTTCATGAAGATGATGATTTAACTAGACTAGTGTTTGAAAGTTGCAGCTGGCTTTTCTATATGTTATGTTGGCTTTTCTACATATTGTTCAGTCTTACTTGTTTGAACATCTTTCTAAAGCTATCTCTGGCTGAAAAACAGTGACCTAATATTTACTTGGTTTTTGCAAGATGAGGAAGCATGCTGCATCATTTTGTGTTTCCATAGAACACTAAAATTGGAGCATATTTTTTAAATAAACAAAGTTTGTGCCTTATCCAGCCTCTGACAAGAACGCTCCATGTACAAATGTATGTGCTATTTGGGCTTATGAGGAATGACTGAAAATACAGTTAGCATTTTAAACATGCTTGACTACATTCCCAGCTGTAAAAGCAGTTATCTTGCCTCAGGGAGGGCAGGGTTATTTGGAGGGCAGAATTTGAAGAGGAGCGTGGAAATGGGACCTCTTGCCCACGATGAAAGCAAAATATCATTTGTAATTGAATTTCTGTTTGGTGAGTTGATTTTCTTTCGGTGTTCCTAACTTTACAGAAGAAATATGTCACTGCTTTGAGGCAATGGATAACACAGAGCTGTTTTTAACTGCTTTCTAAATTTCTCTTGCAGTTGGCCTCAGCTGTTCTGGAAGCTGTTGAAAACAACACTCTGAGCATTGAACCTGTTGGCTTGCAACCTGTTCGATTTGTGAAAGCTTCTGCAGTTGAATGTGGGGGACCAAAGTATGTTAAGCTAACAGACATGTCTTGACTCATTTGAGATAACTCTTGGATTGAAAAAAAAAACCTGCCATCAACTGATCACCTTGGTCAAATTTATGTATTTTAAACTTCATTGCCAAAAATCTAAGACTTCTAAATTGCTGTTACAAAATTTTATGGGGAAAGTAGGCAACTAATAAATCAAACTTTAAAAAAAAAGACTAATATAGAGCAAATCTTTAAGACAAATTCCCTTTTGGGGAGAGCTGCTTACTTCATTTATGATGCATTGACTGCAAAAGTTACATGCACTTGTTTGGAGAAGACCATCCTCATACTTAAAACGTATGCTTTTGAACTAGTGGCTATCACCTGGAAAGTGTCATGAAAGAAATGGGTATTGAAGTAGTACAGGCTGAATGTCAGACATATGGAGTATTTGTGGCATAAGAAAATTAGGGCATACATAGCACACTGACAAAGGTTGCTGAAGAATTTGAGAGGACATATATAGAGTAAATACTCTGAATTTGAGCAGGAGGAATGTAATGGAGTGGGAATGAAGGTGAAGATGAGTTTGAACCTAAAGCAGGAAGTATGCTTGAATGACAGGAAGGTTATTTTAGAAATTTTGGAAAGGTCCTAAAGGAATCTGAAGCAAGACTTCTTGTTAGGTACTGATACAGACATTAGAGTTAGGTGGGAGGGACTTGCCTGAGGCACTGGGACTTTGATGGATGTGGAGAAGGAAGGGATTTGTAGCATGCTTTAGTGTGTGTTACAGCTAAGCAATCAAGGTCAGTGTTCATCTGGAGCCTTCCAAATCATGAGAAAGCCTTGACTTTTCTGTTGAAGATCTTTTGGACAAGTTGACAATTCTCTCTGTAATACTTGTTTTGACAGAACTCAATTTTCTGATAGAAAACTTGCATCAAAATGTTTTCATCTGGCTCTTGAGATATTTTTTTTTCCTTATAACTGTTGGTTTTTAGTTCTTTTCCCTCTGTTTTTGAGTGGAAGAGAAAATACATTTAACATATTTCAGAATTTTTTTACTTTCTCTTTAAAGAAGCTGTATAAAATGAAAACCGTGGTTTATGACTTAGTATTTGATCCTTTCTAGCCTACAAAATTCAGGCATTTGTATATTCTTCAGCTTACTTCTGTCACCAGAAAGCACACTCTTTGAGCTGTAACAGCCCCTTATCAGAAGGGCCCATCACCAATAGCGGAGCTACTCAAGGGGTGGTGATTTCAAGTCCAAACGAGCTGCATTCTGTGAACGCAATAGAGATTCTGTACAGCCAGAAGCCACTTAAACCACGTGTCATGAAAGAGCAACTGGCAAATTGGTTTAAAATCATTGTGGTTCAAGCAACTTCCCTAAGTCTTGACGTGGTGAAAAATTTACTCAAAACCAGGAGACTCAGTTGCATCATTCAGAAGTTTCATGAGATTTTGAAGCTGTTTTCTCCAGTGTAATCCTTAAGTAGCTGACTAGGTATAGATTAATGTTTTGAGATGGCTATGCACAAATTGTAATTTAGTTACTTTAGATGTATCAAAAGGCAAGGCATACTCCTTTCTCCCCTCTCCTGCTGTCGTGTAGTGACAACAACTCTTGTGCTATTGCTTGTAGATAAGTAATATGTAAGGAATATGCAGTGTCTAAGTATAATTTGACAGCAAATGTGCTTTGCCTTATTTATGATTACTGGCACTGAATGGGAAACAGGTGTTCCAGTTTTTACTGAATCAGAGTAGCAGTTTCACATTTTTTATTTTTATACAGTGCAAGGCACTATTTTTATTGAAACCGTGTTCTTAAATAGGTAACAAAACATAGACAAACTGTAAATAAATAATATCAAAAACTAGAGTAATGTTTTTAAAGGAGTTATTTTATTGTAGAGTTGCCTGGTTGATGGGGGAACAGATGCATAAAATAGCAGGTAATAGCCCAATAGCAAAATAAGGAGTGGAGGGTGGAGAGCTGTGATAATAATGGTGAAGAAAGGTTCTTGATATACAGGAGTTATTGAATGGTGCCTGTGATGGTGTGTAGTAAGTGCTGCTTTAACAAAAGACAGCTGGGTTTCCCCACAGGATTTGAATGATTGTCCTCATGGGGAACAAAGCACTATGCTGCACGTGTGCTGTACAGCACAGAACTGAGTCATTAGTAGTAACTGTCATGCCAGCATTTAACCTGGTATGATGGAAGATAGCATATAGAAGGTAATTCTATAGCCAGAAGGAAAAAAGGGGTTTATTTTCCTAGCATTGAAAGTCTGTCTTCTCACAAAAGCTTGACTGAAATTGTGATCAGCTTGCTTCAGCTACTGCAGGATTTCTTGGATCAACGGACTCTGTCAGTCCTCATAAATTGCTATGGAAAATCATATGCACTCTTCAGTTGTCTCCTGTCTAATGTGGTTCTGTGGACCAGCTGCAGGCTATTTAAAAGGGCCTCTGTGCCACTGTTTAGAACCACAGAAGCTTAGTAATTTTTGTTTCACTTTTGAAAGGCAGTTCTTGGACTCCCTGAATTTGTGAGGTAGAAATGGAAGGGAGAGGAGCCAGAAGCTTTTAAAACCAATGAAACGGTGGATGCCATGACAACCCAGTTCATCTGAGATGGTGCGATATAGAAATTCCAAATAAATTAAATTCCCATTTTATTTACATTTATTAAGATTGTAGTAATAGCAGTTTCTTCAAGAGATTCAAACCTTTTTCTAAAGAATGTTGGAGGAATTTTTTTAAATTCTTTGCCTTTTCCTGAATTGTTTTTTGAGAAGAATTTGTGGTGACTACTGACCTTTCCTTACTCCTGAATAAGACGTACTTGCAATACACCAGAAGTAGTGAATCTGATTATTTTACTATCGCTTTTTATAATGGTAATGGAAAGCATTATTGCCAGACAGCCTATTTTCCTTTGTCTCAAATTATTTTACACTCTGAATATAAAATATGATTGCAGTTTGGGCATAAATGCAAAGCTGGTCATAGAATGCATCTGAGAGAGGCTTCAGAGAATTGACTGCTATTCTGTAGGGCTAACTTTTTTAATGATGAAATGCAACATCAAGCAGAATTTTTTAAACATCTGTTTAAATGTTGGCATCAACTGATAATTTAAACAATGTTTGTTTCACATATGAAGAGATAATTAAAGAAATCCCACTGTTTCAGAGTTGTCAAGCCAACTCAAATTAGTGAATGTGGAAGTATGTGACCAGAACTGACGGAAGTTTTTAAAAATCAGAAACGTATCACGATGCACTGGTACTGAAACAAAATTAGTCCTTGTGCAATTAAAATAATTGACAACATAATGTAATAATTGGAACTTGTAAAATGAAGGCAGAGACTCGGGTTTCTGTGCCAATATGAAGCAATTACATTAACACCTTAAACACATGCAGGTGTTTAGGCATTATTGTCAGATTTATTAAATTGTGCAAACTTTGTATCTTGTAGGAAATGTGCTCTCAGTGGACAAAGTAAGTCATGCAAGCATAGAATCAAATTAGGAGATTCAAGCAGTTACTACTACATTTCTCCTTTCTGTCGTTACAGGGTAAGTAGATTTACTGTGATTCTATTTTGAGTAGTAGTTATTTATATATTTTTCCATACCATTATACAAAATTATATTAACCAGCATTATTTTTACATGGGTTCAGATCACTTCTGTGTGTAACTTCTTTACATATATTCGATACATCCAGCAAGGACTGTTGAAGCAGCAAGATGGTGAGTAGGAAATGATATTTGACATATTTAAATAGAAATTTACATAGTACATGTGCTGAAAACTTGCAATCTGTCCACAATAGCAGTGACCTGACATTACAGGAAAGCTATCTGTTGGTAGTGTCATTGTAATTATGAGAATTTGGTGATATCCTACCTTCCAGTAAATTTTTTTTAGAACAACAAATTTAAAAAGCAGTGATTTTTAGTCCATCTAAAACCTCTTTGTGTTATTCAATAATAAATTTTATGAAAAATTCTGCAACGAGAGGAGTCAGTCACAGCTTTTCTACACAGTATTCAAAAATGAAGGCTCTTTCACAGAGTATGAGATACTTTAGAGCAAGGAAACTTGAGTTTGCTTTGAACCGGGCCATTTTTTCTTCTTTCACATGGTGTTTTGGTGCGTCTTGTCATTTCGTGCATTGAAAATTCAGGTGGCCCTTCTTGTCAGACTGTCTTTCAGGGAGAACTGGCAAGGATGACAATATTTTTGCGGGGTTAAATTGTAAAAAATAAACAGGAAACCATACTTTACTCTGAGTGCAGCTGAGAAATGAGGTCTTGGTCATTGCTGTGGCATGGCAAAGTCTCTTGATTAGGGCTCTGGTTATAAATATATCTGGCAATGTAAGGCTTGATTACCCCCCACCCCAAAAGGGAAATGTGTTTTCCACTGTTATTGCTTCAGGCTGGGTTTGTTGTTTTCCCCCCCTGCCCCGAGCTACCTGGTCGCTTCCTTCTTGTCAGAATAGCATATCCAGCAATTGCCTGTTTAAACTCTGCGCAGTAATTTGGAAATTTGCTTAACTGTGCTCTTCAGTTTCATTATGTCCATATAAAAGATGACGGTTATGAAAATGTACAGACTGTACACCTAGTTACTTAATTCTGGAATTTAAAAATTTGTTGCATGTTGGAGTTGTAGTTATTGGTCTTCATTTGCAAGACTATTTTACCTATTTATCACTATAAATTATGATGAATTGATTGTGTTAAACTGTCTACAATTGATTTAATAGTATTTCCTGTCCAGGTCAAAGAATATTGCCCAACAGGTGTCAGTCCAAGGTTTTTTTGAAACAGGCCATATCACTTAGGCTCCTGGATTTGCTAAGCACAGATAGTGGAACAAGTGTCATTAATCTTGTGTCAATAGTTAATTAAAAAAAATTGCTTTCACTTCTAAATTTTCTAGTTGAGTTGCATTTCTGAAAGAGTAATACAACACTGTAATGTTTATGGATGTTTGTGCTTTTCATTCAGTCTTTGAGTCTGTGTGGATTGGCTTCGTCCAGAATTTGGCTACGATTAGCCCCACTTTGATCTACCTCACCTATAGTCACCTCTTCTGGTGTTTCCCAATTTCAGGAGCTCAGTATTTTAGCTACACACAAATCTTTTGTTTCTGTTTCTAACCTGAAGCATTCCTGAGGTGACAGACTGTTCCTTACAAAAAATAATGCTGTTAACTTTCCTTGTCAAAGGAAATTATTTTCATGGAATTCACCAGAAATTAACCTATTTCATATGCTAAATTATGTTTAATAAAACCTACAGGTTGTGGTAATTTTTCCTGATTTACTAGCATTGCAGAAGACCCTGACATTGTGGTATTTAAGTTTTAAAGGATCTGTATAGTTTCAACTAAAAATTGTTTACTTTGCTATTTAGGTAAAGAAATTAAGTTAATATTTTTTCCATCAAATAGTGAAATGTTTTCAGCATTATCAGAATTACTTAATTCTTCACAAGAAGTTTTGAAAACACTTGAGTTTGGTGTTTCAGCTCAATTGTCACCTTTACCATTAAAAACATAGAAATTCCATCCATAGCTTTACGTAAATTTTTCAATAATACCTTTACAGAATGTAGGCACTCGTGATAATTGTCTGCATAATGCATTGCATGCATTTCTACTCATGCACCATATAATTTTTGAGACAGAGGTCACTCTAAAGTGTTTTTCGAAATATGGTAAAGAGGACCTTGTTGCTCTTTGTAGTCATTCTGCATCATGATGTCGACTGCATGGAAATTACTTTTGTCTTGAATAATTATATACTCAATAATTTCGACTTGTATTGCTATGGTGTCTAGAAGCTTAAGGTATGCACTCAGCTCATCAAGTTTAGCAAAATACAGACGAAATTTTTAAAAAGGTCTTTTTCCTCCCCAATTTACTGTTGCTGGCAGATAACTGATAGAAAAGAGGGAGGAAGAAAGATTACAAATGGAAAAAATTACACCAAAATTACAGATTCTGTGATGAAACAATCCTTATCCAACAAGTTCTACTTTGTTCTTGTAGTCTTTTAATTTTACAGAAAATGAGTCAAGGGGCAGGGCAATTAAAATAAGAAACTGCAATTAATTGAAGCTGACAAGAAGTACTGATGTATCTTTGTTCCCCAATTTAAAAATAAATCATCTAAAATTTTGGGAATTTTTTTATAGGACCATCATTTAGAATTTTTAAAATAAATACTTTAACAAATTTTGTCACAACCGAGCACAAATGGCCCTCGCACACATTCATCCTGGTTTTACTAGATGTTTGTGACTTCTGAAGTTCCCCTAAACTGGCATACAGTGAGGCAGCCTGTCTACATCGGTTGAAATAAAGTATGAATTCAGTATGTTTAATGATATTTATGTCTTTTTTTAGTGGATCAGATGTTCTGGGAAGTTATGCAGCTGAGAAGAGAGATGTCACTAGCAAAACTTGGCTATTACAAGGAAGAGCTCTAAATCTTTTTACTCTTGCGCATGCATGAACTTCATTGAATATACATAACTAAAATTGCTGAATCTTTTTTTGTCACTTGATATTTATTTCCACAAAGTGGGTCCAAGATCTTTCTCCTTTTGCAGATTGCACTAAGAAGTACTGTGATTGTTTTAAACTGACCTATGCTGTATATGCGTACGTATAATACTTAGTTGAACAGATGTGGTAAGCACTTGCAGGTGTATTAGTGATTGTAATTTACATTTAAAAACAAAACTTCTGATTAAAGTGTTAGTCTGAAGCAGTGTCTGTCTTCCATTCTTTGGGATGCTGAATGATGTGAACCTCCCTAGTAAGTCATTCCAAAACGTAAAACTGAGGTGATTTTATGAAGAGGGAATAAATGCCTGACACTTTCTTCACTGCGGTGTTTTGCAATGTATGCCAATACAGTTAACAGACCATTAGGGCTACTTCGGATTCTTTGAAGTACTGCTTTCCTATATTTTTCATTTTTAAAACAATGTAAGAATATACAGTGAAGAGTCAACAGCATAATAAATCTGGGTATCATCTTTCTAAAGGAGGGTGCTTTTCAAATGTCAAGGAACAATGAAATTACCTTCGTCACTCTTTGATTAGAAATCTGGCCTGGCCCCTGACCCCTTGCTAGAAACTTTCTCTTGCCCTATAATTTTCTTTCATTAGAATTTTTTCATTCCTTTAAATTATTTTTTTTTCCCCCCTCCTGCTTTTTTGGGATTTCCAGTTTCCAATGTTTTATATGTCAGTTTCCCATAGCTGTCCTTCAAACTGGAAAATATCCATTATGTGATGTCTTTAACATGCTGCTGATGATTTCTGTATAATATTGCCAGTTTCTTCACACACACGATTTGTTACAAAGAGAATCCAAAAAAGGATGATGGCTCCTTAAGGAAGATGGTTTTTCTGTTGAAGTGCTACTTTGACACTTCAAGTTTAAGTGGTCCTTTTTCCCTGGGCATAGTCTAAGCTGAAAGCAGACCGCTGATTGGGTTACAAGGAACGTAGCTGTGGGTATATACCAGACCTGCTATGTAAAAGCCCTTTTGGAAAAACATTAGGATAATGATGGCCATTTACCAATTACAGATAAGATTAAAGTATTGGCAGGTAAACTGACAAACCTGAGAAGTAAGGGCAAGTTCATACAGTCGGTTCTTTAACAAGCAGCATCTCAGTTGATACAGATTTCTTTTGTTTGATGCTGAACAAACCCAGTGCTATTCCTCAACTGTCTTACTGGAGTGTTCTCCATTTTTACGAGAGTAAAGAGAATGAGAGGTGAAATTTAATGCCACACTTGCGTTGCTTGCACGTGTACATGCCTGAAGACATTCTGCAAGCATTGGCTTTGACCAGGCATTTCAATGTTAAGATTGAAACAAACAACTGAACCTAAATATTTTTCGAGGAATGGAGTATGTCCAGCCTGAAATATTTATCGGTCTCCTATCACTGGGTGCTACTGTTGCAGAAACCTGGAAGAATTCTACCTTAAATTGTTAAAGGGTTGCTTATTCTTTCAGTAATGCTAAGGAAGTCTGGTTTTACTCACTCTTAGTAAACAAACTGTATTTGTTGGTATTATGTTTTATGTTAGGCTCATAAATGCTTCCTAAATGATTGTTAATCCTTGGTTTACATAATGATATCAAACAGTTTCCAGGATCAGCTAACAGTAGTTCAATGATAGCTGGTAACTGCTGCTATTCTGACTTAATAATCCTTTACAAGTGTTGCTTATTCACGCAGAGAGAGGGGTCCTTGCTAGACATGATAGTGTCAAGGCATAAATGGTAGCTAAAGTTTATTATGCTGAGGCGATTTTCTCATACTAGGCACTACAAAGATGTACCAGGTGTTATCTCAGTGGTGGTGACTGTTTGGCTCAATTACATCAGCATCTTGTAAATGCTAATTGGCTTGCTTCTGTCTTCAAGTCCCTTCCCTGAAATTCTTATTTTTTTACATAAGCTGCCTATTGTTGAGAAACCTGTGTCACTGCAAGTGCCCGGGGCGTGTAAAAATTGTGCAATGGTTACTTGTCTGGTGAATGTAACTGCTTCAGAAAATGGCCTTATTCCAGGGTTCTCGACTTCATGGCAGCTTTCATTCATCAACCAAATGCCTCTTACAGGTGCCTGCTCAAAATGTCTGAATATTTTTCTCCTGATTTGCTTAGGGGTGACGGAACAGGGGCAATTTTCAGTGTATGAAGATCAATTTAAAGAAAGTGAAATAGGGTGTGCTACTAGCCTTAAGACCTTTGTTCCATGTTCAGCTTTCCCTTGTGTTTTTTCAGTGTTACCTTAGGCAAACAGGTTAATCTGTAATTTTGTCTTGTTAATAACGTAGGAGTTCTGCTTCCCTATAATCGAAGTGCTGTGAGAAATTTTTTAGAGCTGTTGGACAGTCTGATGCTCAGCAGCTTAAATGGGATAGCGCACGGAGTGAAACTGATGATAGCCTTGGTCTTGCCTTTCTGATTACTATTGCTTTCGTCGGTAGTATTAATTACGTCAACCTGTGTGAAAGTACAGAGACAATGCTGCGTTTTTTGCGCATGTGTAATTGTGGTTAGTACTGGGACCAAAGGTCTTTACAGCAAGAGCATTAAACATACTGAAGGGAAGAACGCACATCACCTTCACCTTGCCTCAAGAGCCTTGTCAGATTCTCCTTGACACGTAGCAGAGTTTAAGTATAGCCCTGGCTCTAGTTATGAGGGAATGAAATCAGCTGGGACGGAGTCATTGGAACCTCTGACAAAAACGTGACTTGTTCCTTGCCACCTTCATAATCATCTGGAAGCGTAGACCGTGCATTTTTCTCAGTGGGACTCTTCAAGCAGTAGGAAAGCCAAACGCTTCTACTGGCTTTTCATGGATGTGGTGGGAGAAAATGAGGCCTTGCAGCAGTTCTTTCAAGGTAAGAGTCAAGTTTTGCTAGAGAGTCTTAACAATTTCTGGAGGCAGCAGAAATACCGTAATTGGGGGATAATTGAAGAAGAAAAAGAGCCCCAAAAGCTCTCTTTACACAAAGCTGTCGCGTAAGGCAGTGCCAGGATGGGATGGTACGAATGGCACAGATGCACTGCAGTGCCTTTGCCTTTGTACTTCGTCCAGAAGACCCAGGGGAAGGTGGAGCTGGCACCGCCGTGGTAAGTGCCAGGGAGAAAAATGGGGACGCAGCCAAGATCTCCTTGCGATTTATCACTTCTGAAATCTAAGCAATTTTCATGAGGTTAGAGAGCTCCCTCCCTGCTCTGTCATCCCATGTCAGGTTGAGGAGGGGTTTCTTTCCACTAATACCGTTCTTCGGAAACTGCCTGACTGTAATTGGTAAAGTGGTAACCGTGGCAGTGTCCTCAGGAGCCTTCTGAGAAGTTAAACTTGGATTTTTTTTTTATTTTTTTTTTTTTGGCTTTAGGCTGGGATCTGCCCTTTTTTCCCCAAGACATTTCACAATCCAGCAAGGTCCCATTAGTCTCCTGCCTTTTTCTTAACCACAAAATTTACTTTCTAATAGATTCCATTATCAAACTGCATTTCCCCGGCCCTGCCGTAACATGATTCAAAATGGCTGTTCAAAGGCTTATGTATTTTTGTACTATTTTACTAAATATTTCTTTCCCTCCCTCAATTTACACTTTGCATTTATTTTTTTAATATTAACTTTTCAGTTTCAAGCTTCTCTTTCTGTATTTGTTTTCCTTCTATTACCTGTGCAGGTATTCACATGTTACTGATCTCAAACTAACTTGGAAAACTACCTTTCCTGTTTTGGATAATGTGGACAATTTTTGTTTCCCTGCATTTAATTTCTGTTGTGCTAAATAAATGATTTTTTTTTTTTTCTGGCACCGTCGGCCTAGGTGAGAGGTGGCAACTCTTTAACTTTTGAGTTTTGACTTCAAACTAGAAAATTAAAGATTCTCCAGTATTGATCAAGCAAATGTATTTATGCCAAGAAATTTAAATCTGTGAACCACCATTTAGGGCTGCTAGCCAGCAAATGTGGTGTTTTTAGATGTTAGGGAATTCATACTGTGTTTCGTAAGTTCACTTGAAGTCATGGAGGTCAAAAGAAACTTCCTTGGCTTTGCTTTCAGCAAGATGTTGTTTTTATCGAGCTATTTGTTCAAGTACTGCTCTGTATAGCTGTTAAATACTCAAAATAGTGTTGGAATGAATTCTATTAAAAAAAAAAATCTCCATAATCAGAAAAATGTTTAGGGACTGCCTTGGAAAACGACTTCAGGGAGTTTGGGCAAGGTTCTGTTGGCTTTTGTGACAACGATACTTGGCTGGTGGAAGGCATCTCAGATATTTTAGCTGTATGAGCTCTTTAACTAGAATTAATAATTGTAATTCTAGAATTAGTAATTGTAACTCTCTTCAGAAGGTAGTTTGGCAGAACATCTGTCTGGGCCAGTGTGAGGGGGAGAAGCCCTGTCAATTCCCTTTAGTTGCAGGTAGAAGAAACGCCTTGGGAGCTTATGTTCCTTTGGTAACTTTGTGCGGTTCTTGCTGTGTAGTGCTGGAATATGACGATGGCCTGCTAGCTCAACGCTGCCTGTAGGGATGCTGTTAGATGGCTGAACTTCATTATCTGGGCACAGAGATTAGATACGCGTCAAGGCTGCGAGAGCTAATCATTCATTCGGCCCGTAGCAGCTAGGTTCCTCTTGCTGTTAAACCACAGGTAAATCTGAAAAGGGAGCAAGCTGATTCAAAGCAGGGTTTGCACTCTTCAAGCAGGGGTTAGCTGCGTTGAATGTAAGGCCAGCTTTCACTGATGGCCTCTCTCCAGCTCAGCACTGTGACTTTATAATGCCACCTCGGGAAGCAAAAGCAATAGACGGCTAGTTTGATCTTGGTGGGCCCTCGAGAGAAGTCATAGCAGCGCTAGAACGTTGTCTTTCAAGGCTACAAAAACGCTGAGTCCTGCAATATCAAGTGGAGAATGCCACCAC